AATTCAAAACGGTTTATTGTTGTTTTTTATTTGTTTAAGAAGGATAAAATAAAATTTTGTTAAAAATAATAAAAAATTTATAATAAATTATATTATAAAGTTATAAAAAGTATTGTGGAAGGAAAAGAAATTTATAGAATTTAATGAACTTTAATTTTTTTACAAACTGGGACATAATATGAATAATATTCAAATCCCATTTTTCTCTTTACAATTGATTCACTCTACAGCTATGAAAAGCGACATATTAGAGAGTTATTTTACTTCATTTCATAGAATATTTTTAGAAAGAACACAAACTCGAAATACCACATTTTATGAACTAACTAATGAAAATGAAGATCAAGGAAATTTAAATATATCAAGACGGTTTGGCTCATTCAAAACATTACACTTTACTGTTACTAGTAATAATAATCCGTTATTTTTATTTGATGAAAATCAAATTATAAATGAAGATAAAGTACTACAAATTAGACCACCAATTAATGACGTTTCATGTATAACTTATTGGAACTCAATCTATGGAGAGTATATAATTATTGGACAAACAACGGGGTTTATATCATTTGTTGATTTAAAAGAAGGAGGAATAGTTAAAACAATTAGAATTGTAGCTTCAAGAATTTCTTCATTAAAAGTAGTCAAAACTACAATTGGGTATCAGTTGATAATCATTTCTGAACATGATAAACAACAAGAAATTACATTGTTATTACTCCAAAAACAAAATAAAAGTATTTTTGAAGTAAATTCAACTTTTATTCCAGTGGCAATTGGAGTGTTTGATTTAGTTTCAATGAATGAAAATGAAATTATTTGTTATTCTAAAGAAAACAATGAAATTGATACTTTTACAATTGACACAGACCGTTATGTTCACTCATACACTTTTGACCTTAAAGGTATTAAAAATGAGATTGTTGGTATATTCCATACAAATGAAACAATTATTTTATTAGTAATAAAAGTTATTAGTAGATGTAAAGTATTAAATGTAGAAATTTATTCAACTTATTCATTTATTTCACATAACCCATTACTTATTCAAACAATTGAAATACCTGTTTGTTTATCTTTATTATTATATAATAAAATATTTTATTTAATGGTATATAGAATGAATATGTTATTGGAATTTATCCAAATAAGTCTATATCAAGTCATATTAAATACAATGGTTTAGAAACATTAAAATATTTAGATGGAATATTTATTTGTACAAAATATTCTGTTTATAGAATTGACCCAATGATGTCTCTTAACGAAATATTAGAAACAGAATTTTTGAGACGTCCAGTTGAACGATGGAAAGATTTAATTCCAATAATCAAATCATTTTCTATTCCAACATCATTCTTCATCTATTTATCAAATAAACTTCCTATTGAAAAAGCATATCATTTAATTGAACATCATCCAAAATTATATAAAAATTTATTCATTAGATTAGTGAAGGAAAATACAACTATAGAATATTGGGACAAATTAACAAATATACTTCTTCCATTGGCAGATGGTAATCCAAACATTTCAAGTGATTTATTAAATATATTCATTGCAAAAGCATATAAGTTTAATGAACATATTGATACTACTTTCATTGAATATATTTTAAATAATCAACACATTAATTTTAAACAAGCAGTTACTAAACTATATAAAGATAAAAGATATATTTCATATATTCTAAAAAAAAGTGATAGATATGCAGTTGAATTATATTGTACTTATATTCATTCTTTATTAGTCAAACCTACATTTGATTGGATTAATGAAGCAGTACAAAGAGATGTTAAAATTTCTATTCCAATTTGTTCAACACCACAATTATTAACTTCACTTTCTATTCATGACCAATTTCAATTATTAAAAAAAGCATTACAGAAAGAACCAAAATTTATTCTTGTTACTTCATTAAGAAATATTATTGACTCATTGAATGAAAGTGATTTATCTGATTGTCTTCAAATAGTTGAACCAGGAATGATGTATAATTGTATTTGTCTTGGAAATGATGGAATAGAAGATATATTAAAAAATATTAGAAGTATTATAATTATTAAACAAAATATTGACTCTTTAAATAATGATTATGATAAATGTTATTCATTTTTTGATTCTTTGTTTAGTAAAACAAAAGCAAATTTCAATGAAGTTTATGAATATTTAATTCTTAAAGAATATTACTTTGCCTGTGCTGTTTGTTTAGTGATGTATAAACAACATCATTTAGCAATTGAACTTCTTCTAAAACACATGGAAGTGTTGCCAAGTAAAGAGGAGGTTCTGCAGTTAGTTATGAAACTTTCATTAGAGATAGAAAATAAAGAATACCAAATCGATCTTTTTGATAAATTCCTTCGTTTGTCTGTAGAATTAGATATTAGTTCTAAGGTCTTCAATCAAATTCTAAAAGATCAATTTAAAGCAAATTCTTCTTTTGTGGTAAAATATTTTTTAGATGTTACTTTTAAAGAGCCAATCGACCTAGCATATGAACCACTATTATATAAAATAGAACCATCACTTCTTTCAAAATTTGAACAAATTAAATATAGAAATAAAAATACTATTCTTGAAGATGGCAAAGTACTTCAATTACAACTCTTATCTTCACTAAATAAATCTATAGACTTTTCCGTTCAAACAACTGTCAAACTTTTAGGAGAACATGAACATTTTGTTGTGTGGTGTCCAAAGCAGCATTCTTTTGACTTAGAAACTATAGAAGAAATAATTAAAGAGTTTCAATTAAAATATCCAACAAATAAAGTAGTAAAAGAGTTAATTGACCTTTACCACCAGTTTAAAACAAACAATAATAAAGGAAAATTAATTTGTCCTTTCTGTTTGAAGCACACTTTAACAAAATAAATTTATTAATTTATATCTTTCATTTCTATCTATTTTTTTTTTGATTTATTAAAACCAAAAAGTCATTTATTCAAACACAATCGATTAAAAAATTAAAATTCTTTATAGTTCATTTTTTTAAGTCAAAATAAGAAGTACTTAAACGATGTTGAACACTTCTAGCAACTTCTTCTAAATCAACTACTTCTGCTTCTTTTTCATTTAATTGTTCTAAATAATTTTGGTTTATTAATTCTAGTTGTTCTTTTAAACGCATTAAATTTTCATTACTTCTTACTAATTCATCAATTCTTTCTTTTGCCTCCCGTAGCCTTTCTTCTAATACTGTTTTCTCTCCTTGAAGAGCAGCTACAGATGGGTTATTTCGAATTAACTCTTTGTAAGCTTTAACATCAGCCTGCATTCGTTTATATTCAAAATTCTCTGAATCTGGAAGAATCTTTCGTTTAAGGTTGTCTCTTTCTGTTTTCAATGCTTCATTCTCTAACTTTAATTTTTCATTTTCTATTTTCAATTGATCAACAGATAATTCTAATTCTATTGGACGAATTTTCATTTTAATATTCTTAGTGTTTCTTGCAAAATTTAAAGTTCCCCATGTCTCTACTGCATTAGAAATACTACTAGAAATTGTTGCAATAAAACAGATCCTTTCACTCTGAAGCATTGAATTTTTTAAGATACTTGTTAATTTACAATCTCTGAATGGAATGTGTTGTTCTTTTGCAACTAGACTTCTAATTACCCTTCCTAATGCAGTTAAAGTTTTATTGATATTTCCTGCTTCTAATTTCCCAGTCCCAATTACACCTGATCGTTCAATACGCTCTGAACCAGCTAGGTCAACAAAAACCAACGTTCCTTTTCCAACCCTAATTATTGTAATACAATGAGACCGAGAAGATTGTGAATTCATTTTTGTTGAACTAGTTTTTCTGAATGCATACCCATTAATTGTATGAGTTAATGCTTCTTCCCATTGTCGGACACTAATTTCTAGTAGTCCACTAAAAATAACAGCTCCACTTATATCAGCTTTAACTTCACATTTTTTTCCTTCATTCATGAGGTCGTAGAAAGAATCATTATATATTTCAAACATTGATAAACTGACTGATGCTGTTTTTGCTTTCTTTTGGAACAATAACTCTAAACACCGAGGGACTAAACCAGGTTGTGTAATTTTTCTTTCTTTTGCAACATAATTACCTAACCATTATTTATTGACTCTTTATAATCAAATCTTAAAAATAAACAAACCGAATACAGTGTATGTTTTACCACTTCCTGTTTGTCCATAAGCAAATAATGTCGCATTATTTCCATTTAGACAACAAGAGACTAATGAATTTCCAACACGTTGAAACATATCTTTTTGAGGAGAAGTTTCATTTTTAACAAAATCAAAAAAACATTCTTCATTTGGAGAGTTCATTGTTACTGACTCTTTTTCTTCATCAACAGAACAACATCTTTCCGCAACTTCTGTTTTGAAACAAGGTCTAACACGAACTCCAACCTCAATTATTTGATTCATTACTCCTTTTTTCTCTTTTTCAGTTACTAGTTTTATTAATTCTTATTTTTAATTTTTTTTTCATTTTTAAAATTAATGACTTATTTTCTATTTCTAACAAACACAGGTAAGACTCACCTTGATAAAATACTTTATTATTGAACATTACTTTCTTTCTTAGTTATTTTTTCTTATGTATTAGTTTCTTTTCATTATAAAAATGGTCTCCTCATTTAATGAAAAGTTTAAAAATAGTTAAGAAGTAGAAAAGAAATGGTTAATTGAGAGATTTCAATCCTTTAGAACATTGTAAAGACATTCCTTCCAATGTAAGAATCATTTGAGGAATTTCTTTTACATCAACTTTTTCAATCCTTACAGAAGAAACATATAAACATTTTTGTTTATGGTCAATGTGTCCAGTAAATAATTTGTTCCTCATTGCTGAAATAATAATATTATCAACTTCTGAGATACTCTTACAGTCTAACTTCTTTAACAAAATGTCATAAAACAATACCTTCTTTTCATTTACCATTTGAAGAAGTATTTGTTCCTTTTCACTATTCATACGTCTAATGCTCTTTTTTAAGTTTATTTTCTTTGTTTTTAAGTTTTTCTCTGATTTTTGAGGTTTAACAAAATGTTATATAAAACAACGATTTAGTTAATTTTCTTTTGTAAAGAGTCTTGTTGTTTCTTCAAATCTGATAAGTAATTTTCAAAAGCAAACATGACATAGACATGAGCCATTGTCATTGGAATATAAGTGAGAACAATGACTAAGGCGATAGTAGGAACACAGAAAAGAATTGAAACATCTTTATAAAAGTAATAAATGAGATAGAATACTGGTCCTACAGAGAAAAGAAGAGAACTTATTTTACCAAGTTTGTATAAGGAAGGACGCCAATGTAAACAGATGAAAGGAATGATAGATGATGCTCCAATACAAAACGATAAGACAATTGCAAGTGGTTGATTCGCAAAAATCATTAAACTGAGAACACACATAGATGGTAATCCACATAACCCATCTAATATTCGAAGTTGTGCCAATGATTGACGACAACATTTTGAAAAGACAATTGAAATACAAATAGGTAAAATAGCCATACTAATAAGATATACTTGTTGAGGAAGAGTGAATTGATTAAAATAAATAGTATCTTCAATAGAAATGATATTCCAACCAAATAAATATAAATAAAAAACAAAAGAAATAATAGAAAAGATGATAAATAAACCCCAAATTTTTAGAGTCGTGATATTTGATATTTCTAATTTATCAGATAAATGAAGATCAGAAACAATTATTAATTCATTTGTAACTTGATCTTTTGGTTTAAAGACGTAATATACCAACTGAGGGAAAATACTAAGAAGTAATCCAATAATAACACTTAAAGCAAAAAGGATAGTTAGTATTATTGAAACACTGAAATTTATGTAATGTTTAGTATCTAATAATATATAAAAATACGTAGAATATTGAAGTTGTTGATATAAGTTATTAAATGACTTTAATAAAGAAGTTGTACTTGTTATAAAATCTACATTTCTAAAACTGTATTTTAATTGTGTTATATTTGATTGTGTTTGAATAAGAAGCATATCAGTATTATGTAATGGTCCTTCTACACTATCACAATATCTAATTAAACTTGAATGTAATAACATTTGTTCTATAGATGAATTAACATATTTAGAAGTAATAGATATTTCAACAGTATTACTAAATATTCTTTCAATATTTTTTATATAAGAGTTAACCATATCTTGGTTAGACATAAAAGGATATGTACCAACAACTAATGATATCTTTGTTGGTCCAGCAACCATTGGCTGAATATCAAATTCAAATCCAGAAATAATTCTTCCACATAATGGTTGTTGTTGATATTCATTAAAGAAATCATTAACACCAATATGAGTAGAATCATCAAGAAAGAGGAACATATAATTTCTTCCAAGAAATTCTTGTAATGAAAGTTTCTCAGCAATAGAAAACAAAGTTCCAAGAGTATTTAATGAATTGGTGACATTAGAATTTAATGGTGATGAATTATTTTGAGAATATCTTCCCATTAATAAAATACAATTTCTATCATCAGTTCTTCTTGGCCTTAACACTGCAGTAATACCATGGGAATTATATTTATCATGGTAATCATGAACTTCAAATCCAAGTCGAGACATAGTTAACTTAATAACATCATCTCTTTTCTCTTCTGGTTGTTGAAGGAAAAGAGCATAATCTTTTATTCCTAAATAAGTCTCATTTCCAGACGAAGTAAAAATTTGACCAGAATGAAGATTGTTATCATCAACAAATGTAGTTTGTGAAATAACATCTAAATTATCTAACATTATCAATGCACCAATAAAAACAACAACAACAAAAAGTGCTGCCCGTTTTCTAGTAAAGAAAGATACTGGGTCACTTGAAAAATCCATTTAATATATATTTAAGAGTTTTTTTCATGAAATGAATCTAGTAATATAAAAAACTATCAAACTATCATAAACAATTTTATTTTCAACACAAAATGAATAACATAATTTTTTGAGGAAAAATGGTATTTTGTATGATAAAAGAATAATAAACCCTAGAAATTAATAATACTTGATAAATCATATTGAATATGGAGGAAAAACGACCCCATAAAGTCTCGAAGGCTGGAGTCAGTGCACAAAAGAAGAAAGATAAAAAATTAGCAAAAATGACTGAAGGAGAAAAAAAGAAAGCACAAAGAAATAATCCAAAAGCATTTGTTGCACAAACAAGAGTTGCCGCTAAACAACATTATCAATATACTCAAACAAGAATACAAGAAAAGTTACATGTTCCTATTATGGATCGTAGTGTTGAAGATCCACCACCTACAGTTATTGTTGTTTGTGGACCTCCAGGATGTGGTAAAACAACATTCATTCAAGCATTGGTAAAGACTTATACAAAACAAAATTTAAAAGATGTCAATGGACCTATTACTCTTATTACAGGAAAACATCATAGAATTACTCTTATTGAATGTCCTAATGATTTAAATGGAATGTTGGATTGTGCAAAAATAGCAGATGTAGCAGTAATGTTAATAGATGCAAGTTATGGATTTGAAATGAATACATTTGAATTCATTGGAATGTTACAAGCACAAGGATTTCCAAAAGTAATTGGATGTTTAACTCATTTAGATAAAGTAAAGAATAATAAATTAGCAAAAAAAGCAAAAAAAACTTTAAAAAAAAGATTTTGGAGAGAAACCTATGCTGGAGCAAAATTATTTAATCTTAGTGGTATTACTCATGGAAGTTATCCAAAAACTGAAATTAAAATTATCGCTAGACATCTTGCTGTTATTAAAACAAGACCTATTATTTGGAGAAGTAATCATAGTTATTTAGTTGCTGATCGTGTTGAAGATTTAACTGAGCCTCAAGATATTGCAGAAGACCCTGATGTAGATAGAACTGTTGCTTTATATGGTTATGTTCGTGGTACTAACATGAGACCTAATGCTAAGGTATGTATTCCTGGACTTGGAGACTATAGAATTAAAGAGATAGAACAACAGCCTGATCCATGTCCTTTTGGTGATGAAGCTAAACGACTTAAAGCAAGGACACAAACTGTTTTTGCTCCAATGTGTGATGTAGGTGGTATGAGATATGATAAAGATGCTGTTTATGTTACTATGCCAACTTCATTACAAAATGAAAGAGAAGATCAAAGCACTGTTCAAGAATTAGTACAGTCAACTGGTGGAATTACTGCACAACTAAATCAAAGTATTAACATTATTGATGGAAAGGCAAGAAGGCCTGTTGAATTTAAAGATGATATTGAAGAAGGGGATGATTCTAATGATAATGAAGATGATGAAGAGAAAAATGACATGAGTGAAGAAAATGAAGAAGAAATTCCTACAAAAAAAATGGAAGAAGAAAAAGAAGAGGCTGGAGAAATTGAATATGCTGAAGAAGGGTTGGATGCTGAAGATGAAAAAAAGAAATGGGGAATGATAAAATTAAAAAAAAGAAGAGATTTAATGAAAGAAATTTATGAAGAAGTTTCTGTTAAAGAAGAAGAAACCGATGATGATGATGATTTACTTAGACCTGTAGCAGAACATAGTAATAACGAATTAGACTTAGAAGATAATAGTAAGGTGTATTGGGAAGATAATGTATTAGATAGTTTAATAAAGAATGAAGTAGATGAAAATATTGCAAAACACTTTGTTAGTAAGTCTATGAGGATAGTTGATGATATGATAGTTGATATGGATGTTAAAGAAGAAATGAGTGAAGATGATGAACATTTAGATGATTTAATTAAAATTGAAAATGGTGAAGTTAAAATTCAAGAAGAAAAAAAGAAAAAAATATCTAAAGAGAAGAAAGAACAACAAGAAGGTGAAGAAGAAACAAATACTAACCCATTCTGGGATCATGAAGAAACGTATATGCAAAAAGTTCAAAAACAAATGCAAGAACAAAATAAAATGAATCATGAAGCATTTGCTGAATTAGACAGTGCTACAAGAATTCAAGTTGAAGGTGCAATTGCAGGAACATATGTTAGAGTTGTAATAGAAAATGTTCCTGCTGGGTTTATTAGACAATTTAATCCAAAGAGAATTTTATTAGTTGGAGGTGTTTTAAGGTCAGAAGAACAATTAACAGTAATGCAAGCATTAGTTTTAAAACATAGATGGTTCCCTAAGTTAGTTAAATCAAAAGAACCTATTGTTGTTAGTGTAGGATGGAGAAGATATCAAACAATTGCAACTTTTTCAATGGAAGATCTTAAAGGAAAACAAAGGATGTTAAAATACACACCAAAAGGAGTATTTTGTTTAATGACCTTTTATGGTCCAGCATGCCCAAGTAATTCAGGTATTATTGCTTTTGAAACTGGAGAAGAAACACCATATTATCGACCATGTTTAACAGGAAATATCTCTAATGTAGATAAAGCATGTGAAATTTATAAAAAATTAAAGTTAGTTGGACAA